TGTTTTCTTCATAAACATTTTAATACTTAAACATCACAGCTGATATTTTAAGATTTGTAGGGGATAACGTAAAGGTAAACGAAAAATCTAAAGCAGCTCTATTGGGCTGAAAGCCGCATAAACAGATCAGGTTTGAGAAGTAAAAGCCAAATATTTTGCTGCTTTGTCCGTGTTCCCTCAGGCTACTTCTACAATAACACTGAATAGGAAAAAGAAGGAATTTGAAACATCTGAACTGGCAGATCTAATTCGGTGTGACAATTCTGAAATTTGAGGGCCCTTTAGAGTTGTCACCTTTTACATTTGAGTCTTTCACACAAGCTTACTGAATGTGGTAATTTGATCAAATTTAGTGAATAAAAGAGCCTCAGCTTTACCCGTTTCAAGCCAGAAGCTGCACTTGCACAGGACAGTCGGCTCTGGCCCAGGACTTCTTCAGCAGCAAAAATCTGATTTACTGTACACGCCTACTGAGTGTGATGTATTCTGCATTTGTCATGCACACAAAATGCTTCATTATCTTTATTGTGTTCAAGCTTTTAAGAGTTGTAGTGGTAGATATATCCTTAGCTACACCCAGGACTCCTCTAGAAAGAAGTCAGAGCTCGCCGCATGCAGCAGTGGTTAATTTTAAGCAACCTTAGCCAAGATCATTCTATAGCATGCAGTTTGGTTGATAAATGCAGCATTATGTGCAGGACTTTTTCTGCCAATCCTTGAAGATTTTTAGAGTGCTCCACACTCTAAATACCTATCTGTGAATCCTCTTTCATACATCAAAAAAAGACGTGAAGGAAACTCACTTTGTAAACCATTTTAAATGTTTATGGCATGCATGCAGTAAAACCGTAACAAAATACAAAATGGAAATCATCCAAACAAGAGACAAGCAACAAAACAGAAACTAATTAACCAGAGGAGGAAGCTTGGGGCAAAAAGGAGGACAGCACAGTTTATTCTTCTACAACAGAGTCAGTAATTTTACTGCAAGGTCAAAGGAGACTGAAGAGCTCAGTTTGACTGGATGGTGGTGCAAACCAGGTGGGAGTGCACTGGATCATGAACAAAGACTTCTCAGATCAAAAATTAACTTTGCAAGTTAAAAATGGACAGAACAGGAAGAAAAAAGCAGAGGAAAATAACAGATTCCTCGTGTAGACTCTGAAAACCTGCAAGATAAAATGCTAAGATTCTGTAATGAAGCAATGCATTTGGCAGCAGGGATTTGGCAGAGTTTATTGAAATGTAGCAGCGGATGGGATGATAGCATATAGCAAGCATGAGAAGTAAGACTCATCACAAGGAAGTGCATGATCAGAACACAGAATCCATAAATTATGTCAGTGGGAGATGTAAGAATCCTGGTGCAATCCCATAAAGTGCTATTCTTCTCAAAATAAGAAAAGGGTTGGGTCAGATATAAGAGATTGAATTCAGGCTACTAAAACAACCAAGAAAACCTTAATAGTTATTAAAGGGAGTAATATCACTTCGGTATCACAAAAATACACAGAAATCAACTAGTTGTCTGAAGTCTTCTTTGTGGTAAAATAAATTATCAATGCAAATATGACAGGAGAAAATTCGCAACTGATAGAAGAACACCTTCCCTTGGCTTTTATTTGCATTCTACTGCAGTAAATAACTCAGGCTATTAAGAAGAGAGACCTAAGTCACCATCAGGAATACACCTTCTTTAACTCTATCACTATTTAGTTTTGTTTCTGTGTACATTCAGTTTTTTATTTATTGCCCTATATTCAGAGAAGCATAGAGATCCACATTCAGACACATTCCTTCCATGATCTTTGTGTACTGCAGTCTTGAAAATAAGTGAAAGATTTAGCAATCAAGGAAACATTAGGAGAGAGAGTAGAACATTGCTTTCCAGGACTCCTATGTTTTATTTCACAGCAACACAGTGCATCCATTTAACACTGACAAAAGATCAAATTTCAATAAAATGCATTTTAATAATTTTTGGTTATGATTGAACTCCGTCTTTTAACTAAGGAACCTCTTAAACAGCACTAACATGTAAACGCAACATTCTTACGGTCCTGCTCTGGCATATGCTATTAGGGAAGTGATGGCAATGAAATCAAGTAAGTAATGGGTTCTTCCTGCCATAGTCTGCAAATCTTACCTAAAAAGACATGGTTCTAAACTGTGAAAATGCACTGGAAAGCACCAGCATGCAAGTCTGGAAGGCATACAGAGTATTGGCAATAACCTAGAAAATGCCTTTGTCTACAGACCAAATAAGTCTTCTATAAAATCGACTGTAAGGACTCCATGAATGTTTTTCAATTAAAGTGCACTATAGCCGTAATGAACAGAGATGCTGTACTGAAGATACACAATGCAATATGCTCGAATTATGCCAGAAGAAAGCAAGAGAGAGTTCCTACATCATGGATTTCAAGAGAGGAGGAAAACTCCTTAGCTCTATGGAAGGTATAAACACCACAGAAATACACAACTACTAAGTTCCAGCGTCTTTTTCCCCAGTGAAAAGGCTTAAAATTTATGTCACTATCCACAACATTAAAGGTGTCCGAGATATCAGCACCTGACAAAGATAATTTTAAAAGAAAATGACGTTTTGGAGAATGTAAGTCTAAAAAACAAAAGAAACATTTTAAGCCTTGATCAGAACAAGTAGCAAATGAAGGAACTTCCTGCTTTCAAGGTCTTTATTCCAAGAGGCTGGAGCTTGTTAGTGTTGCTGCAAGATCACTCCAGTGCTTCCACAGAAGGGAGAATTCTTGCCGAAGGTGTAATGGTTAAACCGAAAACGATGGCTGGAGCACTGCAAGTAAAGCCATGAAGAAGCTGAGATGCAGGAGGCAAAATGAAAGAAGGCACACGAAAAGCATGAAACCGGGCATCCGAGGGAGGCATTTCTCCTGCGAAACTGGACTAAACTGGCAGATTGAATGCACAGTGGCGGACAGACAAGAAGCTTTTACACAAGTTTAAATGTTTCGCTATCTTTTCGTACAAGAGAAGTAAGTACCAGTATTCTGGAACTAAAAGCTGGCATGTTTTCCAGCATGTAAGTCTCCTGAACATTCAATGACACAACACCTGCAGAGGCAGGGAAGCACTGCCTTCTTACCACTTCAGTGATTTATCCACTCGCTCACGCTGACAGTACGCACTTTGCTACATGTCAAAAAGAAAACAACATTCCTGTACTCACTCATATATCTGATTAAACGCTCCCCTTACTGCAGCAGTGCATGGCAGAACAGGACTGTACAACACAACAGCAAAACCAGCTGAGAAACTTCAGGGGAGAGACAACTAAGCACCACTGCCAAGTATGTCAAGGAGAGCCCACAACTCTTGTTTCTGAGATGCATCCTGAAGAATTTCAGCATTTCATAACAAGTAAGGCTTCTCCAACATTTGAAAGACAGATTTCAGGAACTGGGGCGATGCTCAGCAATGTGCTATTTGTATCTTATATGTAGGGATAGTTTTAATTTTCTAAGCAAATACACACCTCCAGATCAGCAGAAACACATGTTCTCTTTCCTCAGCTTTTGTTTCGTTAAGTCATGACAAACAGATTACTACATGATGAATAATACACCATGTATTTCTTGGACAATAATTTAACTATCATAAAGCTTGAGTCAAGATTTTATAGGGACTGAGCCTCAAGGTTCTTGTAAACAAGTAGAATATGCCATTTTCTATCTCAAAGATTTTTAACAGTCACACCTTATTTTTAATTGAAATATGTTCCTAAAACTAGACAAACAACTTTGGCTAGGTATGGACACAGCTAGCATTTTAAAGGACAGCATGGTATTCAAGAAACAAGAGAGGACTGCACCTTCCCATGTTGGTGTCTCAAGAGTTCACTTCCCACAACTCTACTTGGCTGAGAGTCAGATAAAGTTGCATTTGTTACATGGTAATGTTCATATTTTAATATTTGTGTTGCCATTCAACAACCAGTATGACAATCAGGCTTTGTGTAAGGACAACACCTAACTTGAGATTTTTATTTTTTTTTAATTCTTCAGCATCCCTAAAACCAGATATTATGACCTGAACATATTAATGTGGGTTTGGTCTAATTAGTCCAGGAGTCTCTGGGTCACTGTATTTCCAGCATGTCTGTTAGTAGTAAATGTCCTCTTTTTCACATTTTTGCACGATGACTATCTTTTCTACACATTCATTTAGATTGATCTGGATGCTACACCATACAACAATTTTTCTCACAGTGGTAACCATATTCCTAGTTAGTTCCACCTTCATACAGTCCGACTTTCTCCCAACAGCACAGGACTCAGGAACATATTCTAAAAGTACCTGGAGTATATGGAACCCAAGCATATTTCTGTGCTTTGTCTTCCTGACGTATGCTTTGATATACTCTTTTATCCAACTATTTACTATCTGTGTTTTCACAAAACAGCCATTCCAAATTCTACTAAAAGAAATTAAAAAAATAATTAATGGTTAATGGTATGAGTACGTCTCTTGACTCTCCTAAAGTTCCATCTAAAAATTAACAGAACAGTTCTGGCTGAAATCCTTAATTAAATTAAGGTGGAGGAGGAATGGATTTCACTCTGGAGATTTGAATAGAATCATTTCATTCCTTCATCACTGTCCAGCCACACCTGAAAGCAGGTCTTAAGCCATACAGAATCAGGACATCTACAGATCTTCTTGCAAAAATTACTTATTTTAGAATGATAGTTTAGGTGCTCTCCACCTTTCCCTTCCTTTCACCTCTCTCTTCAATTCAAACAAAGAAAGGGTGTGTTTTTTTTCCAAAAAACTCTTTGGATATATTTGATCTTAAGGACAGGAAATTATCTGTGTGACAACTCTCTAGAAGAGAGAATTTTTTGTCCACACTAGGCCAGAACATTAGTTAATTCCTTAGTTCTCAGTGGGCTTGGCCAAAGAGATTTAAAAGGCATTAAAGAAAAGCAGAAAATATGAACAATGTAGTTAATATTCATACTTACAGGCTGAGGCTGTTCTGCAATACAGCAGTTGAAGCATAACCAAAACTCACTCATTGTTTACAGTTTGAAGTAGGAACACAGATGAAAAGCAGGACTCAATCTCTGTAAATCTGTTTTCAGGTAGCAAGTTCCTTAAATAGTTTATTTAAAATGGCTCCAATGTGAAAATCTTCTCTGTTGAGTTCTTCTCCAAACACAAGTCAGTCCCAGGACAAACAACTTGAAGGCAAAAGATTATTTTAGAGTCTTCTTTCAGAAGGTCGGTCCCAGCACCATAGAAGTGTTATATAAGCTTCTTTGGTCCCTAGCGTTACGTGAACCTAAAAACAAAAGTACATTACATCAAAAAAAAAAAAGAATATACCGAATTTTATGCTCCAGATAGCCACCCACACCAGTGATTTCTTTGTAATATCTTGAACATCAGACTAAAGAGACACTAGCAAAACAAGTCACATGCTTATTTCTACAGTGACTACCAAAAATAGTATATACCAGAAATCCATATTTGGCTTACATTTCAGCTTTGGTTAGATGAAGCGATATCAAGAACTGGTGTCCAATGTTTTTGTGGCCATCTCTGTTCGATGGGTTTCAAACTTCCAAATATCAGTTCAGAAAGCAGCAATTGCCCATATACTGCCTTTAAGCTTCTTAGGGAACTGAACCCATTGGCACTTAGAATTTCTAAATGGAAATGTTATCCAGTCCATTCACAACATGAGGTTTAAGCAGCATTTAGTTCCAACCCTGTTGCATAGCTGTCAAGTAAAGGTGTGCCTTTCTACATGTTGAGGAGACAATTAAGTTTCTGTGTATGGAAAATCTGCAAAATGGCTGGACTTCGTCAACTCCAGGTACTGCACTTCTCTGTCCTCCTGCTTCAGGTAGACTTGGCTTCAAAATACAAGATGACTTGTGGAGTTTGTTTCCTTACACCTCTAAAATTCCTCATGTGGAACAACTGAGGCTCCACATTCCGACCATTCCTTTGCTAAAATAATGTTTATTGGTTAATCTCCAACCTAGTTTCTTTCACTAAGAGTGCAGTAAAAATTCCTGTGAGATTTCACCCTGGCCATTTATCTTGCCATCCATCATAAATTTTACTTGCAGAGAAAGTGAGATAACGAGTATTCAGTAGTTTTACCATGCATACTTCTTAATAATTCTGTATACAACTGCATCTTCATTCATAGAAATGTGTACATAACTATGTGTAATTATCTGTATGGAATTCCTCACACCATGAAGTGGTTTGGAGGCTCCATGGGATACATAAACTACATACAGTGTTAGTTCCCTGCATGCCAAGCACGTAAGCAACGAGGTCCCTCGTTTACACCAAGTTACTGCACTGCGTAGCCACTACTAGCCAGGTACTTTCCAGCACAGTTGGCTGCAATGCACACATACAGAAATACAGCAGCACCTCTCCTGTACTAAGTCCAAAGGCCCTGGAAAGCTTTCCCTCTTCTTACCCTTTAAAGACTAACACAGGCTCTTTAAGAAATAAATGCACGCAGCAGTAATGTCATCTGAATAACAAAACTCCAGTAGAAGTACTTGTCTGCAGTACTTGTCTGAAAAAGCTACTGGTAGCATTTAAGTTAAATTTATATATGTCTTTGTGGCATTTCTTGCCTAGAAATCAGAACAACAAGGTGTGTGTAGGGAGGAATGCTTCAATAGCTTTTCCTACCATTAATGTTATACAGAGCAAAGCAATTTTATTAAACAGAACACCCTGAGGGTAAGAAAAAAAACCTAATAAAAAAAAATAAAAATCATTCTACATAAACTTCCTTTTGTCATACACTTCAGAAAAAGGGTTTTAGTACAATGCTAATAAAATGTATTTTCACTACTTAGAAGATTTCTTTTTTCTACCTCACAGATCATAATCTAAATCCCATGTACGTGTCAAGAAGCTGCAATAAAACATGGGAATTATCAAACAGCAGTGCAAAATCCAAGAATTAAAGTAACTTTAAAAGTCTCTAAGGAATTAGGTAGCTGTACAATTTTCTGGTTACTGAAAGTTTGATCAATGTTAAATCACAAGAGCTGGACTAATTCTGAACAGCTTGGTAAGAAGCACTTGCTGTTCTCTGCAGTCTCAGAATTTGCATGCTACACAATTCTTCTGTAAACTTGATCCAATATGTAACAAAATTGTACCTAAAACATCACTAACTCCTACTACACATGTAACAATTGACAATCTTAGTCCCATAACTGTACAGTTTGTCCCTCCTTATAACTTGGTGTTTTTACTTCTCAGAAAGTAGGTTCCAAGATGTTCTGAAACGCAGCAATGCTCCCCCAATGCTACCTGCACAGATTAGACGAAACTGAGAAAGTTGTCAAAGTTAGAGCAAGTCTAATATACATTGTAACCTGCCAGAGACATAAACAGATACAATTGCAGTGGGTTTCTCTTGCTGCCCAAGTGACCCAATGCTCTGACCTGCAGCTACTGAAATTCTGACACCCATATTTTCGCTTCCTCATCATCGCTTTTTGACAAAGTCCAGATTTAACATAACAAATTCTGTTCTCACAGAGGGTTAACTTCCATTCTGCTGTTACACACCCCCAAGGAAGACATATGTAGAAAGGGCAGGGAAATTCCTTTGTCGACGGGCTCCTCATCTGCTCACCGACAGCTGGCAGGCTCCCCCGGCTCACTGCAGCATCAAGCACCACATCGAGCTGAAACCCTGGGAACAAACTCAAAGGGCCTGTGCATACTCCTGTGGCCTGGAAGGCTCTTCCTCGTTACAAAATACTCAAGGGTGCAGAAGATTTTCTCCACCCAGCCACTCTCAGCACGCAGGACTTGTGCCCTCCAGGACAGAGTTGTCTTCAAAATCAACTCCCTCCGCCCTTAAATCAAAAGCTGCTGAACAAACAAAGCCAAGCTAGATATTGTGAATAACAGCCTCTGATAACATGTCTATTTTGAAAACGTATTTTATCTTCTACATCCCGTATAGGGCCACATTTGCCTTTAATTTTACAAATCTCCACTGAGTATCAGGCAGTTTTCCAATTTGTTGGGTTTTAACCAAAAAAAAAACCCAACCAACCCACAGTGGTGGGAGGACATATATAAATCTGGAGAGAACTGACAATAACTGCAATTCTTAAAAAGAAAATAAAAGCTTAGCAGTATTTGTTAGAGCACTGGAATTTATACATCCCCCACTCTGCTAAACAGATTATTTTTACAGCAGCCAAGTTAATATAAAAGATCAGGTATAAATCTGCCACACCAAAATGGAAAGAAGGTGCAATTAAACTGAAGGCAAAAAGGCATATTGGCACGGCAGTGTTGACAGCAGCATACTAGGATTTGTCTTACACTGCTAGCTGCGTGTTTAAAGAACAAGTTCAAACAGGAAAATTCTGCTGGTTTTTTTTTTTTTTTCCAAATTGTTGGTTATAAAGAAAGAAAGAATGAAATAAATAAAGAAAGTAAGCAGCACCATACTGACCTACAGCTACCAGTCAGGTAATTATGTAAGTAGCAGCCCAAGAGCAACCCTGTGGGAAAGTGTTCCTGGGGAAGCCTGGACTGCACCCAAAACGGAGCCGCAACTAATGAGATCCCAAAACACGTGCAACACTTCACAGCTAGCTCTCTGCTTTGTCGCAAAATCAAGCTTTTCATATGGGCTGTCCCCAAGTGTTGCTGCATTTGTCTGTGTATACTTGCCAGATAAAGAGAACAACACAGGCTGAAGAACAACTCATGACGACAGCTCTGCACCTCTTTGTTTTTACTCTCTGCAGTTTATGATGTTCAGAGCGGCAAAACACCACACAGCTCACATTGAAAAGACAAGGTGCTTATTCTGTCTGAACTGGAAAGTTAAGTATGTGATGAACGGTGAAAACACCTATTTATAACTACTAGACTTAAATTTAATCCCATTTACAGAAATTTTAAGAAATTAAACCATGTATCATTTTTAATAACTTAAAATTTAAAGTGAAAACCAATAAGGTAATTTTCATCACACCACAGTTTATTCTACAGTAGCTGATCTAATTGCAAAACCCAAATCAACTACTAATTGTTAAATACCATTCATAAAGGCAGTAAGTGCAAACACTGCATTAATGGATAGTGGAGATAGAGCATATTCTCTGACAGTATCAGCAATTATTCTTATTAAAGCAGTATTAACTTTACTGTAGGAAATAAACAGAACTGGAAAAGAGGAAGGGTAAAACTCGACTCTCCTCCAAGCTCTTAACGTATATTGGCAAAAAGAGGGTTAGAGAGCTGATCCAAACAAGAATACACTGCATGCTGTGGAGGGTCAGTTACAGTAAAGTTACCTATTAATTATATAGCTTAAGAAAGTCCACTGTCTTTAAAAACATCTATAAAGTTCCTTTTAAGGGCAAGTCCTCTATATCCTTCGACTGTTCATTATGGCTTCAAACATGAAGTGCGGTGACAATGCTCTTTGACAATTACTTGACGCAAATAAAACCACAGGAAGAGAAAGAAAATGACTGCAGGTGTCAGTCTTAACCAGATTTGTCCCAAAGCTCAGACAGCTACTCAAGGGTGATGATGGTGGAACTAGCAGAAATAATGTAAGTGAAGCATAACTAAGTCATGACTAAGTATGCCATCTCATGTATGTCATGTCATGGCATGATATACCATGACATGCATATATATGCACAAAGTCACAGACAGGACTCCTACTAATTTTTCAGATTCAAGTCCATTCTGATAAATAAATGTGCAATTATTCCATATCACTCCATAAAAGACGCTTTTCTCTCATTTTTTTCTGCCTTAAAGGCTTTGAACAGCTATTAACTTCTTCAATCCTGTGAGCTCTAAGTAGAAAGTTATCATCATTTCAGCACGTATATTTAATATCTTTCGTAATTTTCACTTGAAATGTCTCTTCTAGCCATACTATTTCCTCTTGATACTTAGTAGATACGAGTGGCTGAAAGAAACAAGGGTGGGACTGGATTAAGGTGTGTCCAAACCAACAGAGAGGTTGCACTGGTGCACACTT